ACGTTCAAGGAGCAGACTGCTGGATACAGATCCATGTGACTCTGGCTCTGACCTCTCATAAACGGTTCTTTACATTTGGGATGCGGTTACCTTTTTATAGGAAAGAGCACATCATCCTTCCGTTTGATCTCTCCTTTTAACTTTCAAAGAAACCCTCACTGCTATCAAGTCAATTCTGACTCGTAACAACCCTAGGGACAGGGGAGAACTGCTTCTTGGGGTATCAAGGCTGCACCTCCTTATAGGAGCAGAGAATCTCATCTTTCTCCTGCAAAGCAACTGGTAGGTTCAAACTGATGACCGGAGATTAGCAGCCCAACACATAACCCACTAGACCCCCAGGAACTCCCTGAAATCAAATGATAGGTTAAGGCAGGCAATTCTGTACACCTACCGGGAAAGACCATCTATTTTTACCAAAGTTGCTTTAAAAACAAAACAATAAAACTTCTGGCCTTGCATGAATTTCCTGCTTTTCTTGGCACGATATGAAAACTTGATTAAGATGAGGTAGGCGGTGATTGGTGCATGTGCATGTGCATGTGTGTATAAAACAACAAGCAAGGACTTATTGACAAGGGTGAGGGCTCTGTTGACAGTAATTTGCCCATTGCAATTATTTTCTCTTTTAATCAGATCAAATTAATTGTTACTGAATTAATTCTAACTCATGGTGACCCCCAGTGTGTCAGAGCACAACGATGCTCCATGAGGTTTTCAAGGGCTGATTTTTTTCCAGAAGTGGTGCACCAAGCCTTTCTTCCGAGGCACATATGGGTGGCTTAGACCTCTAGCCTTTTGGTTAACATCCAAGTGACTTAACTCTGCACCACTCCTGTAGTTCCTCTTTCTTAGAAATGTGATCTTTGCAATGGTGAGAAGGGCATAGGATGCCTAGTGGGGCTTAATCAAGGGCAATGTAGCAGCAAGGAATTACTAAGCCCAAATGAAGTCCCAACATGTTGGTGGGACAAGGGGAAAGTAAAAGGAAATAGAGGAAAGAACCAGGAGGCAAAGGACATGTATAGAGGTCTAAATACAGGCATGTATACATACGTAAATACAGATTTAATGAGAGGGCAATAGAACTATGTACGCATATCTATATGTTAAGAATTAAGGTTGCAGATGGACATTGGGCCTTGACTCAAATACTCTCTCAACACAAGAAAATGGGTGCATAAGCAAATGTGGTGAAGAAAGCTGATGGTGCCTGGCTAGTAAAAGATATAGCGTCTGGGGTCTTAAAGGCTTGAAGATAAACCAGCAGCCATCTAGCTGAGAAGCAACAAAGCCCATATGGAAGAAGCACACCAGCCTGTATGACCATGAGGTGTGAAAGGGATTAGGTATCAGGCACCTAAGACCCAGAACAAAATCATACCCAATGTGAATGCGGGGGCGGGCATGGAGTAGAGGCCCAATGCCCATCTGTAGACAATTGGACATCCCCTCACAGAGAGGTCACAGGGAAGAGATGAGCCAGTGAGGGTGCAGTATAGCACCGATGAAACACACAACTTTCCTCTAGTTCTTTGGTGCTTCCTTCCCCCCACTATCATGACCTCAATTCAACCTTACAAATAGGATTAGACTGCTACAAATGAGAGCTCGTGACACAGGGAATCCAGGATAGATAAACAGGGACAACAAGAATAGAGATACCAGGAGGATTAGCAGAGGGGAGGGTGAGAGAGGGGGAATGGGTCACAAAGATCAATCCGTAACCCCTTCCCAGGGGGCCAAATAACAGAAAAGTGGGTGAGGGGTGATGGAGGATGATGAAAGATATGAAAATAATAATCTATAACTTATCAAGTGTTCGTGAGGGAGGGTAGGGGGAGGAAAGGGAAAGAAATGGGGAGCTGATATCAGGGGCTCAAGTGGGAAGAGAATGCTTTGAAAATGATGAAGGAGGCATATATGCAAATGTGCTTGACACACTGGAAAAATGTATGGATTGTGATAAAGAGATGTAAGAGCCCCCAATAAAAGTAAGGGGGAAAAAAGAAATGGGATCTTTGAAATCTAAAATAATGGGATGCCCTTCATGGACTCATGTTAACCCAAATTTCTCTAATAATTACCGTAACCTGGAGACTTCTAACATCACAGACAACCAGGTTATTCGGGTCTAGTATTGTAGGATGGCTATATTTTGCTGGCACCTTCAGCTACAAGGGATTTCTTAGACCTTACATGTGAAATGAGCTTGAATTTTGCCTCAAACTGGACCTTCACTGCAAATGCTGTCGAACTGTCCAGCAGATAAATTCCTAGCTCGCATTGGACAGAGGGACAGTGTGGTCCAGATTCTGCTGTACAAAGTAGAAAGCACAAGAGCTGGAATTTATTTGGGGTGCTGAAGCTCCTGCACACTGCCCTGCAGGTTTAGATAAGAGACCGGCTCTTACCTTACATTACTAATGTGTTTGAAGGGGGACATGATTTGTAAAGAGAAAAACTTATATACAAAAGTTAGAGCACAGGGGGTCTCTGCAGCCAAAGTTAGAGCACAGGGGGGTCTCTGCAGTATAGACACTCCCGGACCTCAAACTTTATTAGGGACTGGCTTAAATACATTTCCTGCACGCAGCCTGCAATGCGTGACAGGTTTACACAAAAAGACAGTTCACAATTTGAAGGTTTACAAAGAAGCATTAATACATCAGCCAAGTTGTTCACAGACCAGAGGGGACAATGAGGCTGGGAGCAGGAAGTAACTGATAAGTGTGCAGACTGCTGCCATCTGCAGCTTTAGTCAGGGAAAGGGAGGCAAGTGTCTGCTTATCTCAGGCAGAGAGACAGGCCAGCCACTGGCTCATCAGTTCCCATGGCTGAGTCATCCGAATTCTCCTATGGGCCATGAACCATGGAAGGTGATAGTCAGGTCCTGTTTGCCTAAGGAACAAAGAACACCCTCCCACTCACCCCCACCCACCCACCCCACACACACAGGGTCACCACTACCATCGGGGAGTGGAGCATGAAGAGGTATGCCTGGGGGGCTTGATAGTGCTGAACTAACTTTTTGAACTTCTTTTGAAATATGACCTGCAGTAAAGTCCAACACTGAAAGTGTACAGGTTGCTGAGCATCTACAAAGTGAACCCACCTGTGGAAGCAGACGGAGAACCAGCACAGTGCTTGCACTCTAAACAGTTGGACTGCTTTTAAGTTTAAGATCCTGGAATTAAGCTGATTGCACTGCCTCCAGAAGCATGTATGGGTGGACTCGAAAGGCCCGTAGCTTACCAGAGCTGAAAGGGACTTCACAGATCATCCCAGGGAACCAGCTCCACCCTCTGAGAACCAAAGAAAAGTGGAAGTGAATTGCCAAGACCCTGGGTGCCTGACCCGCACCTGTACCTTTTCCATCCCATCTAACTGATTTTTCTTTAATTTAAGGGACAGAACACAACATGCTCACTTTTGTTCCATGACATGAACATCTCCTAGGATGCTGAGATGTCTCTGAATCAGTAACCAGTCTCTGCTTTTGTTGTTGTTGTTTGCAAGGCTGTCGATCTTTTTTGTTGTTTTTGAAAAAAAAGATCAGCAGTCTCTGTTGTTTTAACTAATGCATGAATAAATATGAACATGGTATTGGGACAGGAGGAAGCTGCAAAGAAATAGAGGAAAGAAGTAGGAGGCAAAGGGCATACATACAAGCCTAAATACAGACTTGTACATATGTGAATATATCTAAGATTAAGGGGGGAACGGACCTAGGTGCAATAATTATTGGTTTGGTAGTGGGGTGGCAGGTGGAC